AGGGGCGGTCGCTCTGCCGGAGGTCACCCAGCAGCTGGCATCCGGGCAGGGCAGGGGGTCCTAGATGCAGGGGCAGGTCCAGGGGTCCTTCCAGCTGGAGGGTGGTCACCCCTGCCCAGCCCTGCACCCAGCACCTCCGGGCATGTGCCGTCACCGCCGCCACCCAGAGCCTGCCTGGGCACGCCGAGGGCACTGCCTGAGGCTGAGGGTTGGGGCACATGGAGGCGCTCTGGTGGCTGCTCAGGCTGCCTCCGCGCCCCAGCAGCGATGGTGTAGACGCGGAGGTGTAAACGCTGCCGCCCTCGCGGGGTGGGCAGGCCAGGTCACTCGTGCTCCGCCGGCAGGTCAGCCCAGGAGGCTCATGCCCGCTGGTTTGCCAGTCTGGAGGACCCCGGCCTCGGCTGGAACCCCGCTCCCTGTGGTGGAGCCAGCGCCCCGCGGGCCTCGCCAGCTGCCGGGCTGCACGGCCAGGGCCTCGGTTTACCCCAGCTGGACACACGGGGCAGTGCAGCGCGCTGAGACCCAGCTGCAGACTCGCCCGACAGCTGGTCCCACTTAGCAGGCGGCCGCATTCCTGGCAGTTTGTGGTGAGGGCTAGTCCGCTGAAGGGCCAGCAGCCGGCTGGGGGCGGGGTGGGCGTGGGTGCCTCTGCCAGGACCCGCCTGCCCTGCGGAGCCACTGGACAGGGACAGGGCACGCCAGGGAGCCCCCGCCCTGCCATTCCTCTGGCTGGACAAAGCCGCCTCCTGGGCTCCCTGGGCCGTGGGAACCCGACCGGCTGGGGGGTCGGGGGGGGCTTTGTCTCCCTGTGCAAGGCCGCCCAGACCCCGGGCTGGGGCAGGGGCTTGTGGGAAGGATGAGGACAGGAAACCCTTGTGGCGTGAACCCAGATACAGGGGGGACACTGAGGCTGGGGGGCAGGGAGGAGGAGGGGATGGTGGCTGGGGGCAGGGGGAACACCCACCCTCTGCAGCAGGAGGCCCTGGGCTGGTCACAAGTATGGGGTCTGGTGTCCGGGCTCCTGGGCCAGGGGGCCTTTGAGAGTCTGTGTCCGACCACCCAGCAACTGCAGGGACAGCTCACGGGTTGGACCACAGAGGGAGCTGGAGAACAGAGGTGGAAAAGGAGGGAGCAAACGCGGTGGCAGGGGCCCTGGCCGCTGGAGGGCCCTGCCTGGACTGAAGGGAGGGCCGGGCAGCAGCGACAGTGTGTGCAAAGGCCCTGGGGCAGGAAGCAGTGTGGACCAGCCTCGAGTATGCGGTGTGGGGCCATGCCAGACAGGCACCGGGGGACCCCACTATGTGAGGTGTCCAGAACAGGCAGGTCCATGCAGGGAGGGCCCCTGGGCACGGGCGGGGCTGGGGTCTCCTCCTGGGGAGGTAAAGCCACACTGGAATCAGACAGTGGTGGTGGCTGCAGTGGCCTGGGGGCTGGGGGCTGGACTCTCACATGGCCGAACACAGTTCCAGCTCCAGACCTGGTGGCTTCAAGCTCGGCACCAGGCTTGCGAGCGCCCAGAATCTCAGGAGGGGAAGGAATTGTGGTGTAACCATCCCCTGAGAAAGACTGAAGAGGTCAGGGGTCAGATCCTGCAGCCCACGTCTGTGGGTGACAAACTGAGTGTGCCTGCCGGGTCCCTGCTGGTGGGACAGGGGAAGGCCCACTGGGACAGAGTGGGGGTCTCCAGGCTTCTCTGCCTCTTCCTGCCCAAGAGCCGCACCCCTCCAGTCAGGAGCTTCTGGGGCTATGGGTGTGCCCTCGCCCTGCTCACCCGACACCCTCCACTCACCAGCTCCAGTCCAAGTACGACCCCCAGAAGGAGGCTGAGCTCCGCAGCTGGATCGAGGGACTCACGGGCCTCTCCATCGGCCCTGACTTCCAGAAGGGTCTGAAGGATGGGATCGTCCTATGCACGTGAGTGCACGCGTGGAAACGGCCGTCGCCCCAGCTGTTCTGTGCAAAGGAGGTGACAGTCGGCATGCTGCTGAGAGCTGGCTCGTGCTACACTAACCAGGCTGCTTTCTCTAACGAACGCGCTTCTTTGTCTTGTCTTATTGCTTAGTCCGGGATCGCTGGCTTTGAAGCACCCTAAGCTTACACTCTCCCGCGCAGCCAGGGAGGTTCCTGGAGCTCTTTCCTTGTTGCCTGGTATTCAAACGTTCTATGGTTTTGCCTGTTAAAATGTGTTTAAGAATCATCTATTAATTTTATTTTATTATTATTTTTTGGGGGAGAGGTTTTTGCTATAGGGTGCGTGCGCTCACCAGAAAGAGAGAGACAGAGAGACAGAAAGCGAGAAATCACCTCCCAGGGGGGATGGCCACACCGCAATCCCTTCTCCTCCATTCCCCTCTCGGGATCTTAGACACACACGCACACGCGCCTGGCATGAGTTTAATCCACTGGGTCCAGGGCTCGAACCGTGGTTGACTACATGGTAGTTCAGCGACATAGCCATTCTGCTAATGGCTGGTCCCAATTTTATTATTATTTTAATTTGCTGTAGGGCATGTGTGCTCATCAGAGACAGACTGAGAGAGGGGGAAAGGGAGAAAGCAAGCTGCCAGATCTGGGACTTGAACCAGTCAGCCACGTGGGAGTCCAGCACCTTAACCACTATGCCACCTGCTGGCCCCTGCATATTAAAAATCTGAGTGGAGAAACTGGCAGTCGGTGTTGTGATTGGGGCACTGGACTCCCACATGGTGAACCGTGGTTTGAGTCCTGGACCTGGCAGCTTGCTTTCTCACTTTCTCTGTCCCTCTGTCCCTCTCTGGTCAAATTAAAATAAATAAGTAAATAGATAGATAAAGTTAAATAAAATAATCGTTCAGAAAAAAAGTTTTTAAAAATTTGAGTAGAGTAGCTAGCAGGTGGTGGTTGAGGCATGGGACTCCCACATGGATGACTGTGGTTCGAGTCCTGGACCCGCAGCTTGCAGCTCATGCCAGGCACATGTATAGGCCTGCCCCAAATCTGAGAGGAGGGTGGAGAGAAGGGTCCAGGGTGGCCATCCCCGCCCCTGGGAGGGGAGTTTTCACTCTCCTTCTGTCTCTCTCTGTCCGGTGAGAGCACTGTGCCCTGTGGCAAAAACCTCAAAAACGAGGAGAAGAAATCGGCATGCGAGCTCCAGGCTCCCCCCACCACGGCTGCTGCGGTCCGTGGCAGCACCTTTTCCAGGCCACGGTCGCTTTACTCCTGGCAGCGAGCCTGCCTCGGAAGGCGTGCATTCCGCCGAGGCGACTCTGGCCTCTGGGGTCCCTGGGGGTCCCCTGCAACATGGAGGCCCCTGTCATCTCACCCTACCCCCCAAAGGCTCATGAACAAGCTGCAGCCCGGCTCGGTCCCCAAGATCAACCGCTCCATGCAGAACTGGCACCAGGTGAGGGCCTGCGGGTGCGGGGCTGGCGGGGACCTGCTGCCCAGCTGCTGAGCCCTCACCGCCCCCACGCCCCGCAGCTGGAAAACCTGTCCAACTTCATCAAGGCCATGGCTGGCTACGGCATGAACCCCGTGGACCTGTTTGAGGCCAACGACCTGTTTGAGAGTGGGAACATGACGCAGGTGCAGGTGGCCCTGCTCGCCCTGGCGGGGAAGGTGAGGCCACGCGGTGCTACGGGTATGTGGGGCATGCACTGGCCAGGGAGACGGAGGCAGGGACCGGGACCGGAGGGGAAGCCCCCGGGGGACAGCTGCAGTCCTCCCCTCCTGTCAGGATTTGGGGTGCGTCCAGCCTCCCCAAACCGCGCCCCGCGCCCGGTCTCGGGTGCATTACAATGAGCAGCGACTTGTAGGAGCCGCGAAGACCCAGAGGCTGCAAGGGCCCTGCATCGACCTGGGCATCGATCCGGGAGGAGGGGACAGTGGAGCCTGGCACTGGGCCGCTCCAGTGCCGGGCAGTGGGAAGAGGCCGCGCTGTCAGGGAACTGTCTTCTGTGGCTCCTCGTGAGTCCTGGAGGCCAGGGAGGCCCTGGCCAGAGTAGCCAAGGGCCGGGTACAAGGGCAGGGAAGGGAGGTGAGGGTGCCCGGGACTGGAGCACAGCCTGCACTGACGCAGCTGGGGGAGGCTGGGGCCAGGCGTCCGTCAGGGCCCAGGGGTCTCTGCACTTGTGGGCCTGCTCCTCCCTTTCCCTGGCCTCCCCCAGGCCAAGACCAAGGGGCTGCAGAGCGGTGTGGACATCGGCGTGAAGTACTCCGAGAAGCAGCAGCGGAACTTCGATGACGCCACCATGAAGGCGGGACAGTGTGTCATCGGGCTGCAGGTCGGTGCAGGGGGCGGGGGCGGGGGTCCTCCAGACCAGGGGCAGCCTGACCTCCTGGCCACCTGCAGATGGGCACTAACAAGTGCGCCAGCCAGTCGGGCATGACCGCCTACGGCACCCGGAGGCACCTCTACGACCCCAAGAACCACATCCTGCCCCCCCAGGACCACTCCACCATTAGCCTCCAGATGGGCACGAACAAGTGTGCCAGCCAGGTGTGTCCCGCTGCCCTCGGGGGGCAGCCCAGAGCCCACCCAGCTCGCGTGTCACCGCTCTGCCAGACCGATGAGTCACTCAGGTGACCACTGCTTGGAGCCCGCAGAGCTCCGGGGAGAGGGCTAGGTCATGGTCCCCTCTGGTCCCGGTCCCGGTAGCAGAGCCGATATGGTCAGGGGCCCGGGGACACTGACCTCAGCACCAGCAGGGGGGAGGGTGTCCCGGCGCACAGGCAGGGAGGAGCCTGGGGCCTCTTGCAGCCTGTACCTCCTCTCCCTCCAGGTGGGCATGACAGCCCCAGGGACGCGGAGGCACATCTACGACACCAAGCTGGGGACCGACAAGTGTGACAGCTCGTCCATGTCCCTGCAGATGGGTTACACGCAGGGCGCCAACCAGAGTGGCCAGGTCTTTGGCCTGGGCCGGCAGATCTACGACCCTAAGTACTGCCCGCAGGTGGCCGACGGGACTCCAGGCGCCGGCGACAGCCTGAGCCCAGGCCAGGCCCCAGAGTGCCCCCCCTACTTCCAGGAGGAGGCTGGCTACTGAGGCCCCGTGTGCTGTGCCCCACCCTTGCCCCGCTGGGCTGGGGGTTTCTCTGTGTTCTTGCCATGTTCTCGTCCCTCCCAACTGCCGGGCTCCCCCGCTGCAAGACCAAACCAGCCCGAGGTCCCTCTGTACTGCCCTGTACCCTCGACTGAGTGGCCAGGCTGGGGCGGGGCGATGCTGTGGGGTGGGGTCCTGGCCAGGGCAGTGGATCCTTGCAGGCTGCGGCCCAACCCGGCTGGATTAGAGAGAGCTGGCCCCCGCTGGCTTCCGGCTTTTTCTGTCCCTTTCGTCAGCCTGTGGTTTCTGTACCACAGAAGTTTCAGGAAGTTTTAACAAAAGAATGGGTTTTCTTTTTTTTTTTTCAAGAGAAGGGCAGGGGTGGCAGGCGGTGCTGAGGGCCAGGCCACCGTCCAAAATGTCAGGGTGGGCAAGCCTGGTTGCCCTGGGACTCAGCCTGCCGCCCTGCCCACCCCCAGGGCCCAGGCAGGGAAAGGCGAGGTGGAAGCACAGCCGGACCCTGCCCCGTACCCTCTCCTAGCCTGACCCCCTTGGGCCCCAGCTCTCTGCATCCCTCCCACCAGGTACTGCACAAGGCACCAGCCAGGGGCCCCTGGACCGTGAGATAATGTGAAATGCCCACTGGGGACCAAAAGCAATAAAAACTCCACGTTGAGACCATGAAGGTGGCAGAGAGGTGGAATCAGGCGGTGGGGGCGGGGTGCGGCCGGGAGCCTGGAGGTGAGCCTGGGTTGAGCAGAGGACATCAGGGGCCAGGCACAAGCAGGGGAAAGGCGGGGCCTCCAGCCCACCGCACCCCATTAGCTCTGGCTCACCCAGCACCCCAACTTCAGGCCTTCAGGCCTCCAGGCCTTCAGGCCTCCAGGCCTTCGCTTGGGCTGCCCACTCGGCCTGGAGCCCCTCCTGGACACGCGCCATTCATCCTCAGACCTCTGCCTGTGCGCGCTCTGGCTTCCCGCCGCGAGCCCACATTTCCTTATGCTCAGCACACTTCCCAGGGCAGGAAACGGGTTTTCCACCAAACCGGTAGCCCTTGTTGCCGGAACGCTAGTCTCCGACTGTGGGGCTCACCCCGAGCTGGCACGCGTGGCCCAGCGTGCGCAATGAGTGGACGTGGACGAACGCACAGCTCGTGGGGACCCGCTCGGATGCACGAAGGAACCGAGTCCTAGACGAGGCTGGCTGGGACCAGGTCCGGGGGGCGGGGTAGAAGCGGCCACAGGGGCCTCCAGAACCTGGGAAGACAGCCTGGCTCTGCAAGGACAGCCGGGCCAGCGGGTCTGCGA